TTTTTTATTGTGTGTAAAAATGCAACACATGGTGCTTTCTTTAGCTAACTTTGGCTCTGCTCCTTATCGGCTCTCGGTCAGGGACATCACTACTGCACAGTGGATCTCCCCACACTGAGGCGAATCACGCCAAGTAATCCACAACACAGTCAGAGAAATTAATGCAAATATCATTCTGTATGCATGATATAAAATAAATAAAAACACGATGGAAATGTTAGTAGTATTTAAGGCAACAATTTGTCATTGTTCATTTTTCATTCATTAATACTAATAAGCATCACATTTTGACTCTGGCAGAGGCTGCACCAGGGCTGGCCACCCATATTCTGGCCATGATCCTACAAAGACAATCAGCTGTCAACTAATTTTTGTGAGGTGAAAAGTATTGTGTTACCCTTTGAAATGTAGTGAAGTAAAAGTATAAATTATCATAATTGTACCTAATTTCAGTTCATGAGTAAAAATATTGAGATACTTTCCACAACTGTTGCATTGTACAGTATAAACGATAATATCATAAGTAACATGGTGTCCCGCTACATATTAAAGAAGTGTTTTCCTCAGAGAGGAAAGAGTTTTTAAGTCAGAGGTTTACAGTTTACTGACTATGTGTACCAGTTCTTCAGATGTGACAGGAAGTAAGAAAATGAACATATGGAGCATAATGGTAGTCATGTGTTCCATCTGGTTATTAAGTTGACCATGCACTCATCACTGATTCACCAGTGCTGATGGCTGGACAATGCATTCAAGTTTACTCCGAAAGTGCTCACCTGAATATTCTTCAGATGTTTTGAAATGACTCCAGCTGAGTCTGCTACAGTATTAAGGTATTCTCTTACATCTCCAGCCTGTCTATGCTCTTATGCTGTTTAAATGATAATGTATGTCTACACCTGCTGCGGTGTAGTTGGACCTGGGGTTCCTCACACCAGAAAAGCTTTTTTCAGTCACTGACAGTGCAGTGTTGGTGTTTCAGTATGACACCCATGTGTATGTGAACTCAGTCAACTCAAGGTCAAGGTCAAAGTGTTTATTTGTCATATGCACAGTTAGAAAACGTGTTTCCCTGTACAATGAAATTCTTACTTGGCCGTCCACATGAATGCCACAACAATACAAGTGAAATATAAGGTAGATGAGCAATAACACAAATCTAAATAGGCAGTAAGAAAAAAATAAAAAATACAACAAGAACACAATATAATGCAGAGAGAATATATGCTATGTGGGAACCGTGGAGTGCAAATATTCAGCAGTGAGTGTGCAATTATGCAAGTGCAAAATGAGCATGTAAACAGTACAGATGGAATTACATGAGGTAGATCCTGAGTCAGCTGTTTAAGAATCTGATGGCAGTCGGAAAGAAGAGTTTTTCAGTCTAGCGGTCCTGCATTTCACACTTCTGAGCCTCCGACTGGAGGGTAGGGGTATGAACAGTCCGTGCTGGGGATGGGTGGGGTCCTTGAGGATGGAGGCAGCTTTCCTACCCACCCTGCGGTGGTGAATGCTCTGTAGAGAGGGCAGTGGAGTCCTGGTGATCTTCTCTGCAATTAACATTTGTTGTCATGGCCCAAGCTGTCTAAAATCTCCCATATTAATATGTAAAAAGCACCTCCCACAGAGAAAATACACTGAGTGTTCTAGACCAGTTACAAGATTGTTGCACAAACTCACACACATTCTAGAAATTGTTAAATTTTGCCCTCTTGACAACCCTGACAATATTTGATAATGGGTGCTTTGACAACCAACCTGTTTGTTTCAGTCCAAAATCATTTTTGTTATTTCAGGTGGTGTGAAAGCTGTCAATTGAACTCACACACATGGACAAACAACAGGCTTGAGACCACCTGAACATTAGGGTCCATGTCAAGGTGGTGAGGCAGCCATCACAGTTACCAAAACTGTCAGACAAATGACTTACTGTACCTCTCATATACCTTACCTCTGTATAATTTCCTGTTTAAAGCTCTTGATTCTTTTGTAATTAGCCAGTGTGAACATAATCCAGGCCAATGTTTTCTGTATGTGGATTAGCAGGTTATCTGGATAGCTTTAGTGCCAGCTCCTCCCAAAGTCTTTTAGGATTTGTTGCAACATGTCTGTAATCTTAAGCCAGGTTTGTTCAATGTAAAAAAGATCTCAGATTTAAACGGGGCCATAACATGAAGTGACCCACAGACATCTGAGCCATTATATGAAGACATGGGTTTAAAGAAAACAGAGTACTAAGACACTGACTGGATCCTTTGGCCCATCCTGACTTGGTCTTAATGAATGATACCATTTTGGCTGGGAGGGAATCATTTATTTATAGTAAGTGCACTGATAGTGCTTTGTATTAGGAGCTAGACAAAGAGGAGCTGTGCTCTTACCTCACTGAGACTTCTCACATTTAGGAAAGAGCACCTTTTGTTGAGCTATTGTATAGCTCCAATTCCTCCAAGTTTTCATAGTCTGCCATTTTACTATACGCTTTAAAAACTAAGGAAATGAATGGATCTGAATCCATTAATATTAATTTTTCTCAATAGCTTTGAACAATTTATCAATTAAGCAGAATTTACAGTACATACAGTCGCTTCAGAAAAGATTCACAGCCTGTCACGGTTTGCACATTTTACTCTATTGTAAATTCATAAACATGAAAAAAGAAAATTGAAGGGGTGGGAATTCTGTCTGACACAACTTCATCTATGTATGTGGAATTCATAACAGTTTAGGGCTTCACATATTTTGACAATGGCATAAATTATGTCATGATGTGAACAGTAATGTAATTCATAAACGCTGTTGTTGCTGTTTAACTAGGAAAAAATGTATGTGTTACGGTAAACCGTGTGTTGAGTGGTTTTGGACCCAGTAATGATGCAGACTCGAACCCAGGATAGACAAGGTAAAACGTTTTTAATGCGTCGCAGAAAAAACAAACAAACAAAACAACAGAGCTGTTCTCTTCCGCTGATCTCGGGGCAGCTGGGCACACTGGGTTGACTGGTTGACTGGACCACTGTTTCCCAGGGTGGATGAGAGGCGTAGCTCGCTAAGTAAGAACAAAGAGTGAGAGTTTAAGAACACGCAGCAGGTGTGTATGGTACAGACTGTTTCTGGTAGTCACTCTGGGGACCTGAATAGCTGAGCGCGCCGCAGGCCCAGGGAGTAGTCCAGGGAGGGGGAGACTGGTGCCAGAGGTCCCGGGTCCGGTGTGTGGGTTCCCCAATGAGGCAGCGCTGGTAGCTGGGCGGTGCGACGTGGGTTGGTGGTGCTGTCCCAGGATCGCTTGGGAGCTCTGCGAGGAGGAGCAATTCACACAACAAAACAAAACCAAAAGACGGCCAAAGCCGACCCAGAACGGGAAACGTAAAGTCCCCAGAAAAACAGTCCAAACCAAAGAAACCCTTTAAAGCATAAGAAGGGCAAAAAAACCGATGCAACTGAGCGCAATTACTGTTCACAGCGTTCAGTGAGGAGCACAGATCAAAGAGTCCATAACCCTGCGTTTTTGACATGAACACGAACTGGCGTTACTAGCAGGACAACATATGATAATCTGGCGACGAGGACGCACCAACGCTGACCCTATGTACTGCTCCGATGATTGAGAGCAGGTGTGCCTTGTCGCCTGGAACGCACCCTCACCTGTGCGGGGTTGGAGCTGCTGGAACTACCTGTGCCTGCCACCGAGGTACAGGGGGCAGCCCAGGTCACGGATGCTGTGATGTTGCACAGAAGAAACTAAATGTTGCAGAAATGCCTCATTTAAATATTGAGGTAAAGCTAAAACTAATAATAATGGTAGTAGGACTAAGAGAAATACATTACAGTAGTAGCAGTTTGCAAAATATTCTTGTTCCCAGGTTCTCATGCTTGTACTTGCTCTGAATATAATGCAGAGATTAAACAAAGTATGTCATCATATCAAAGTAATGGAGCTGTGGTGACATTAAGGATTTAAATGAGATACTTATGCATTCAATTTGTCAGCCACTTTTTGCCATCTAGCTCTCTGAATTTGTGCTGTTTGCAGAGTTATATTACATACACATTACATCAAAAAATTCTTGTAACCCTCACACAGAAGCTCTCACTCTGCTGTGGTGACAGACTTGGATATTTGCATGTAGACAAAGAGAACTCTTTATATAAATACCGTAGTCTAGTCAATAACCACAAGAGTGCATATTTATCTTGTAGAAATTAATCCAGCATTACTAATCTACAACTCAGGTGGGGATCCAGTATCCAGATAACCTTAGCAGGATTTCTCATTTAATCCCTGGTGTTCAAATGTCATGGCAAGCTCTTCAGACCATTCACTAAATAAAATATTTGCTCAAGTTTCAAATGAGTGAGACTATGACAATATTGTATTATTACATTAATGATGAAAACTGATATGTGAGTCACTCTCAGAAAATGCTACATGTTGTGTTTGTACCTGGAAATCACAGATGGTGCAAACAGTCTTGTAGCAACTTGCGTCCCAATGTTTCACAAATAAACTCAGCTAATTTCCCCATGTGATGATTAAGCATGTACAACAAAATAATTTGGTGTTCTGTCAAAACCAATTATGTACACTTTGGAGTTGTGAGTGGCAACATGACACAAATTAGCTGCCATTTGTAACATTTATCCTTCCTGGATATCAGAAGCCAAATCAAAGTAATTATGACCCGAGTGTGTCTACTTTGGAGTTTACCAAGTTCATTACGCAAATTAACTTCCTAATTAGCTTTTAGCTTCATATGCACTTTCATGTTTTTTTCTTCTGTTTTTTTTTATGGTGCTTTTAAATGATGGCCAGGGCACAAGAACACAAACAAAGCTGTGTGTAAATACAACAGGAGCAGTAGAATGGGCCACTTACAAATCAAACCTAATCAAAATCCCAGCATGAACTGGGGGACACTTGGCATGTGTTGGCTCAAATTCTAAAAGGCTCCAAGAGGTTTTCTTCTAATAGAAATTCAGTCGATAAGAACACAGGAAAATTTGAAGAAAGACAAAATATTTTATTTCAGCTTTTTGTGTTCTGTAATTGCATCATGTGTGCATCTAATTACAAAAAATGACCTCTAGCTTCAATAGTCAGAGGGGTTGTTCTTAAACAAGTACTCCGCCTGGAATGAGACAAACCAAAAGAGATGATCAAGATCTAATGAAAATCTAATGCAGTTTGATTTTTAGAGTTTGGTAATAACCAGTCGTGAGTGTAATACCAGGAAGTCGACGGGGTCCTGTGGTCGCACTGAGCAGCATTCGACCAGGCCCCGCATCAGAGTGGGCATGACATGCTCCATGAGGTAGTTCCTCATAGTGACTGACTGGGCCTCCAGCAGCTCCTCCTCCTGCTGCCTCACCGCCTCTAAACCCTTAGTCTGACAAACACAATGTGTCATACTCCATGACATACACACATATCAATATTAAATACAGTTTGATACAGGATATATACTGTTTATACAGTACATGTACTTAATAATTTTTAGTTTTTTACAAGTGAGGTGATTGTTCTCTCACTTACTGAGAACATTTTGCTCCTGGTATAATAGCTGAGCTAAAAAGAGGTCAGACAATTCAAGAAACATGAATAATCAGACACAATCAGACAAAGTGTGCACATCTAAAGCTTCAGTAGTAACTCCTTACATGTCCCAGCAACAGCAACACTTTACATAAACTTTCATCAGTGCAGGAACATCCTGCAAATGCATAATTGGTGTTGTAAAGACTATACCTTGTCAACATCCAAACCCTGGCTCTCCCCTCAGTACTTACCCATTCCTCCCAGCGTGTAGCCCTGTGCTTCGCCTCCTCTGCCTCCCTCTGCCCTTCTTCTGTTCTTGCTTGGGTCTCTTTCCTCATCCTCTCTTCAGCCTTCCTCTTCTCCTCCTCCTCCACCTCCTGGCTGCTGGGGCCATAGTTCCTGGGCTGACCCACCATGTCACAGATCTTCTGCAGCAGCAGCAGGCAGTCAGGTTCATCACTGCTGGTGATCTCTGGAGGGGACAACAAGAAATAGAGTTGGGGTTGATAATATGATGAAAAAAGCCACGATAGGCTAAATCTATGGCAGACATAAAGCTATATATAGCAAGGAGGCTGGCATAAGAAACAAAATGTATATTTATGTCTCATTAGCCTCCAACATGCCAAAATTGACATGAAAAATCATCATGGATCACAGAGGACTTTTCTGTCAGCATACAGGATTATGCTGAGTATGTGACCGGGTACGTTAGTACCTGTACTGACAACATTGTGCCCACCATACAAGTCAGGAGGATCCCCAACCAGAAGCCCTTGATAAACAGTCAGGTAAAGCGGCAGGACCAGACAACATCCCTGGGAGGGCTCTCAGGGCATGTGCCAGCGAGCTGGCTGATGTTCTCACCACCATCTTCAACCTCTCCCTCAGCCAGAGCATCGTTCCCACCTGCTTTAAGACCACAACCATCGTCCCCCTTCCCAAGAAGAGCCCGGTCACCTGCCTGAATGACTACAGGCCAATGGCACTCACCCCAATTATTATGAAGTGCTTTGAGAGAGTGGTGCTGGCCCACATTCAGAGCAGTATATCGAACACCCCAGACCACTGCAGTATGCCTACGGGGCCAACAGGGCCACCTCAAATGCTATTGCTGCTGCCCTTCATTAATCCCTTTCCCATCTGGAAAATAGAGACTCCTACATCAGGATATTCTATATTGACTACAGCTCCACCTTCAACACGGTCATCCCCCACAAACTCACCCCTGATCCCAAAAATATTTTAGATAATCATGCAGTAAACTGCTTCAAAATACATGACCTCATGTTATAGCAGGTGTTTTGATGACAAAGGTAGAGTTTCCCTGATCATGTTTCTACCTGCAGTCATTGTTTTCACATTCCAGCAACAGAGTTCTCGTTAAACTTTCCCACCCTTCCTTAAACTTACAGTGGTGTGAAAACGTGTTTGCCCCCTTACTGATTTCTTATCTTTTTGCATGTTTGTCATACTGTAATGTTTCAGATCATCAAACAAATTTAAATATTAGTCAACGATAACACAAGTAAACACATCATGCAGTTTTTAAATGAAGGTTTTTATTATTAAGGGAAAACAAAATCCAAAACTACAAAGCCCTGTGTGAATAAGTGTTTGCCCCCTAAACCTAATAACTGGTTGGGCCACCCTTAGCAGCAACAACTGCAATCAAGCGTTTTCGATAACTTGCCATGAGTCTTTTACAGCGCTGTGGAGGAATTTTGGCCCACTCATCTTTGCAGAATTGTTGTAAGTCAGCCACATTGGAGGGTTTTCGGGCATGAACTGCCTTTTTAAGGTCATGCCACAGCATCTCAATTGGATTCAGGTCAGGACTTTGACTAGGCCACTCCAAAGTCTTCATTTTGTTTTTCTTCAGCCATTCAGAAGTGGACTTGCTGGTGTGCTTTGGATCATTGTCCTGCTGCAGAACCCAAGTTCGCTTCAGCTTGAGGTCACAAACGGATGGCCGGACATTCTCCTTCAGGATATTTTGGTACACAGCAGAATTCATGGTTCCACTTATCACAGCATGTCTTCCAGGGCCTGAAGCAGCAAAACAGCCCCAGACCATCCCACTACCACCACCATATTTTACTGTTGGTATGATGTTCTTTTTCTGAAATGCGGTGTTACTTTTACGCCACACATAATGGGACACACACCTTCCAAAAAGTTCAACTTTTGTCTCGTCTGTCCACAGAGTATTATCCCAAAAGTCTTGGGGATCATCAAGATGTTTTCTGGCAAAACTGAGACGAGCCTTTATGTTCTTTTTGCTCAGCAGTGGTTTTCGTCTTGGAACTCTGCCATGCAAACCATTTTTGCCCAGTCTCTTTCTTATGGTGGAGTCATGAACACTCAGCTTAACTGAGGCAAGTGAGGCCTGCAGTTCTTTGGATGTTGTTGTGGGGTCTTTTGTGACCTCTTGGATGAGTTGTCGCTGCGCTCTTGGGGTAATTTTGGTCGGCTGGCCACTCCTGGGAAGGTTCTCCACTGTTCCATGTTTTCGCCATTTGTGGATAATGGCTCTCACTGTGGTTCGCTGCAGTCCCCAAGCTTTAGAAATGGCTTTATAACCTTTTCCGGACTGATAGAGCTCCATTATTCTCTTTCTCATTTGTTTTTGAATTTCTTTGGATCTCGGCATGATGTCTAGCTTTTGAGGATCTTTTGGTCTACTTCACTTTGTCAGGCAGGTCCTATTTAAGTGATTTCTTGATTGCGAACAGGTGTGGCAAGAGAAATTGAACTCAGGTGCGATAAACCAGTGTTTTGACAGGGGGGCAAACACTTGTTCACACAGGGCTCTATAGTTTTGGATTTTGTTTTCCCTTAATAATAAAAACCTTCATTTAAAAACTGCATGATGTGTTTACTTGTGTTATCTTTGACTAATATATAAATTTGTTTGACGATCTGAAACATTACAGTGTGACAAACATGCAAAAAGATAAGAAATCAGTAAGGGGGCAAACACTTTTTCACACCACTGTAGATAACATCATCCTAGGGTTCACGGACGACACCGCAGTGATAGGTCACAGCACTGGCGGGGATGAAGCATCCTACTGGAGGGAGGTGGCCGGTCTGGTGTCATGGTGCAAGGACAATAATCTCAGCTCAACACGGACAAGACAAAGGAGATGATAGTGGACATGAGGAAGGAGAGGAGAACTCATCGGCCACTGTTCATCTGGGGGCTCAAGGTGGAGAGGGTGAGCAGCTTCAAATACCTGGGCGTCCTCATCAGTGAGGACATCACTTGGACACTTAACACCACACAGCTGGTCAAGAAGGCCCAACGACAGCTGTACTTCCTGATGAGGCTGAGGAGGTTTGGCATGTCACCTAGGATCCTTTGCAACTTCTACAGCTGCATCATTGAGAGCATCTTGACCAGCTGCATCACCGTTTGGTACAGCAGCACTACTGCTATGGATCGCAAGCACCTGCAGAGAGTGGTAAAGACTGTGGAGAAGATCACCAGGACTCCACTGCCCTCTCTGCAGAGCATTTACCACCGCAGGGTGCGTAGGAAAGCTGCCTCCATCCTCAAAGATCCCACCCACCCCCAGCATGGACTGTCCACCTCCCTACCCTCTGGCTGGAGGTTCAGAAGTGTGACGTGTAGGACCTCCAGACTGAAAAACTCTTTCTTTCCCTCTGCCGTCAGACTCCTAAACAGCTGACAGGAGTTTATTACCAGGAAATACGTCATGTACTGTCGACCTGTACGGTTTACATTCTCAGTTTACACATGCATAATTGCACATTGACTGTTGACTGCTGCACATGCTGCTCCCATGCAGCATACATTCTCTATTACATTCTTATATATTTTTATTATACTGCTGCATTTGCTGCTTAAAGTGCCTTAGATTTTGTGTTACTTATTTATCTACTTTATATTTCATTTGTACTTTGTGGCATTCATGTGGATGGCAAAGTAAGAATTTCATTGTACAGGGAAACACGTTTCCTAACTGTTTATATGAAAAATAAACAGTTCTTAATAAACAGATCTTTGATCTTGGCTTGAAATGGAAGCGAATACATATTAGGAGGTTCAATTATTACTTTATTTTTATATGTATAACTTTATTTATACAGCAGTTTTTAACTACAGTTGTGAATATAACCAAAAGAATTATAACACAATAAAACAGGTGGTGATAGTGTGTTGCACACAACTGCTGTTGAATGGGAAAAAATGTTTATGACTTTGCAAATATCAGAGCCTGGGGCTATACAATTTAATGTTGAAGGTGGCACAACAACAACTCTGAAAATGAATGTGCACAGTACATTTCAAACTTACTCCACATTTTACATTAAGGGCTAACCATCCATTGTTTTGGGAGCATCAGTGGGCACAAAAATGTAGCTTTTACTGTAACTTGTTGTAAACCAAGGAGTTGGTCAAAGAGAATGTTTAACCTGACAGTGGCATTATGTGATAGGCTTGGGTAGTCCCCCAGTTCATTAAGAATCATTTCATGACTATTCATTCCAAATTTTATGACACTGTGGGAATTTGTTGTTGTGATAAATTGTTCTCTGCAAGGCTGTACAGCACTGTCAAACGTCTGGGCCATAGCACTTAGCACCAACATGTACAGAGCAGTTAACATGAACCACCCTAACTAGTTATCTTTCAGGATCCTGGAAGTCCAAGTCCTGCTTGTTATCTCCACAGATATATGTTTCTTTGATAAAAGGTCAAAGGAACTGTCCATTAAAAAGAAAGACATCAGGTCTTACTTCCAAGATGCATATGGAATGAAATATCCAGTCACACTATTAAAACTGTGATTTAAACTGCTGACCCAGTAGTTTAACATTATTTTCAGATTTTGTGTAAATGTTCGATGAATTCAACAATTATGACATCTGATTTGTACTGAAATCCAAAGTAGTTTGAATTTGTTACAGCTCTGATTCACATCTCAGATCAGCCAGCAAACTGTATCCTATATTACCCACAAGATGTAGTTCTGAAAAATTACTAGATCAGTTCATCAATTTCTGCTTTATTCTTACCTGACCAGCTTGTTAAAGACTTGAGCACTTTGTGTCTTCTGTTTTTTTATCAGATAATTCCACTATAATAAAAAAAAAAAAAAGTACTGATTCTGATGGAACTCAGTACCTCCCCAGAGGCCTGTATTTCCTAGTTTTGCCCTTAGACCTTTTACCTGTGGTGAAGTCCTAAATGCTCTTTATTGTTTTCAACCCAAAAATGGCTGTCAGGGCAGATCAGCTGCATCCAGGTTTTTTGTAGTTGCCTGCACCACTAATCATGGGATGTATTGCTCATATTTTAAATGTGACTTTATTCACAGAATGCATTCGTATTCTCTGGAAGATTGTCTACTGTATGTTGTACCATTGCATAAGGGGGTCCCTCAAATGAACTCAATAATTTTCACCCTATATCTAAAATCTCCTGCCTGGTTAAAATATTGGAGAGGATTGTTAATAATCAGGTAAAGAATTTTTAACTAGTAATTTTATTCTGAATACATGCCAGTCTGGCTTTAGACCTGCTCATAGCACTTTGACAGTGGTCTCAAAGGTTGTTATTAATATTTTACAGGCTTTGGATAGAAAATTAAATTTTGCTGCTCTTTTTATTGATTTACCCAAAGCTTTTGATTCTATGGATCACAACATTGTTTTGCAAAAACATGGCCATATTGGATTTGATGAGAAGTCATGTAATTGGATTAGAAATTATTTGTCTGACAGATACAAGCTGTTGTAGTAGATTGTTTTAAGTCAAATTTTATGGGTATTCTTAAAGGAGTCCCACAAAGATCCATCTTGGGTTATCTTATTCACAAATTTTTATCAGTGGTCTAGGATGAAAAGCAGTACTATGCATTTATATGCAGTTGACATGGTCATTTATACAGTACATTTATACACTGATCAGGTTTTTGAGAGTTTGCAGTCTGAATTTAACATTGTTCAGCATCTTCTTCTTAATCTTAAACTAACATTAAATTCTTGTAAAACAAAGTATATGATTTTTACTAAAAATACAATGTCAAATTCATTCATTCAAATATAGCTACACTGAACGGTGCTATCACTGACAAAGTCTCTGCATATACTTTAAGTATCTTGGCTTCTGGTTGGATGGCAAGCTGAGGTTTTAAATAGCATATGGAAAAATGACCTGCTTCACTTGGGTCTAGACTTTGATTTCTGTATAGAAGCACATTTTGCTTTAATGAGTGTCACAGGAGGCAGGTGATACAAGCACCAATTTGATCTGTAAGATGCCCTTCTGTTTCTATGCCCCACAAAGATGGGGCATAGAACAGTTTGTAGAAAAAACTGAAGTGGCTACACTCATCACTTTATCGCAGTTAAAACTGCTTTTATATAATTTACAGTTTAAATGTGAGAGTAACAGGAAATTTGGACACTGTGTTTTTATTTATGTTGATTTTGTGTATATATTTTATTGTTTTTAATGTGTGTCTTGTGATTTTGGATTTTTGATACTGATTTTACTGTATATGATTCCTGTGTTTTTGTTTTCTGTTTTGAAGGTCTTAATTATATGTCATGGCACCACTGAGAATGAGAGCTTGCTCTCAACTGGTCTTCCCCTAAATAAATAAAGGTGATGATGATGATAATGATGATGCATTGTGGAGATTACCCATGTACAGAATGTTGATGTCCAGCTCATCAAAGTAGTTGACAACAGTTTCATCTTCCAGGTTATTTTCTCTGTATCTGGCCAGGTGTCGCAGGAAGTGCTCCGGGTCATAGTTGTGCTTCTGCACAAGCCTTTCAGGCAGGTTCATCACTCGATCTTTCAGGAAGGCATCTGATGCATCCAGGCACAACACAAACTCTGTGCCACACACAACAAAACTGTTAATAATGCTTCAACACTGAGCACTCAGGCTTTTAACCGCCGCTAAGGTGGAAGTAATGTGAGATAACTAATGTGAAGCAACACATAATCTTACAGGCTTGCAGACCTGGCATAATCCTGTTGTATGAAGAAATCTGGGATGTTCCTTCATTTGATTCTTGTTCTTCAGCTAAAAAAATACAGATGCATATGTATGTGTAATATATAGCCATGGTGCAATTCTGACACTAGTGCAGTAGGAGCTTTGTGTCAGGGTCTCACCATAGAAGAGCTCTTTAGCTTGTTCATATGTCTTGGGAAAGCCATCCAGAACAAAACCCTGGTTTTTGCATGGCTTAGACATCAGCTTCTTCTTCACCACCTTCACCAAGAGCTGGTCATCCAAAACACCTAATCAACAAAAGAGCTGATATGACAGTGTGGCAAAATCATCTTAATGAGACATTCCAGTGGAGTCTGGGTACTTCAGACAGATAGATTAAAAACAGAATGCTCAAAACCAAAGCAGGAGAAACAAAGATATCCTGACGACTAGTCTCAAATATGAGCCAAGTTCCAAAAAACACTGGATATTATTAGTTCCTGCCTGAATTCTATAGCTCCACTTTTTAACACAAGCTTTGTCTTAAAATTTTAAGCCTAATACAAGAAAAACCTGATGATGCTGGTATGACATCATACCAGTGAGAGGGCTGCGCTTTAAGTACTAGCCTACCAGGGACAGCTCATGTACTGTATATATCCAGTTGTATATGCCATGCGATGGCACCTAATCCAACTCCATTCACTGCTGGAAACTGTGAGAAGCATTTAAAAGCGCTGAAAAAAGCTAGTCAATAGGCTTTTACTGACAGAAGTTGTGTTGGCTTTTTTTGACATTGCTGTTCATTATACACTCACCAGCTACTTTATTAGGTATACCTGTTCCAACTGCTTGTTAATGCAAATATCTACTCAGCCAATTGCATGGTAGCAACTCAATGCATTTAGGGATGTAGACATGGTCAAAATGATCTACTGAAGTTCAAACCAAGCATCACAATGCGGTACAAAGGTGGTTTAAGTGACTTTGAACGTGGCATGGCTGTTAGTGCGAGGTATGCTGGTCTGAGTACTTCAGAAACTGCTGATCTGCTGGAATTTTCATGCATAACCATCTCTAGGGTTGACAGAGAATGGTCTGAAAAAGAGAAAATATCCAGTGAGTGGCAGAGCTCTGGGTAAGAATGACTTGTTGATGCTAGAGGTCAGAGGAGAATGGCCAGACTGGTTTGAGCAACAGTAACTCACATTACCACTCGTTACAACGGAGGTATCCAGAAGAGCATCTCTGAATGCACAACATGTCGAACCTTGAAGCAGATGGGCCACAGCAGCAGAAGACCACACCAGGTGCCACTCCTGTCAGCTAAGCTAACAAAAAACTGTGGTGTAATGGTGTGGGGGATATTTTCTTGGCACACTTTGGACCTCTTAGTACCAATTGACCATCATTTACATGCCACAGCCTACCTGAATATTATTACTGACCATGTCCATCCCTTTATGACCACAGATCACCCATCTTCTGATGGCTACTTCTGGCAGGATAATGCACCATATCACAAAGCTAAAATAATCTCAAACTGGTTTCTTGAACATGATGAGTTCATTGTACTCAAATGGCCTGCACAATCACCAGATCTCAATCCAAAAGAGCACCTTTGGGATGTGGTGGAATGGGAAATTCACATCATGGATGTGCAGCTGACAAATATGCAGCAACTGCGTGATGCTATCATGTTAATATGGGCCAGACTCTCTAAGGAATCTTTCCAGCACCTTGCTGAATCTATGCCACAAAGAATTAAGGCAGTTATGAAAGCACAAGAGGGGCTCCAACCCAGTACTGGTAAGATGTACCTAATAAAGTGGCCAGTGAGTGTTCATCTGTTTTATCTTAGAATAACAGCAAAACAAACTGTAATATGAACAACTGGAATAAGATTTGTTCAAGACCAAATATGTAAACATCTGCCACTATCCCTCTATCACTTTAAAAAGCACTCTGTGAAGACACACCAGTTTTTGAATTAGCTAGGCCATTATTTCCAGTGGAAAAACCCCATTAAAGTTGACACTTTTTAGGTCTGTCTTAAAACAACACTCACATGCCTTTATGTACGTACTGTTTGCTGTAGTTGTTCAGGTGGTATCTTCTCAAGTTAATCTTTGTAGTATGAATTTTCTCTTTGTGTTACTATTGCTTAAATCACACCTCAAAAGAAAACTGAAAGCCAAGAAGAAAATTTCATACTAAAAAGACCATAATTTGAAAGATCCCCATTCAGTTTGTCTAATTCAGACTGCTAAGACTTCATTAGCTTCAGCTGTATGCCAGATTGCCTTTGTTCACAGAACAAGGACAGTAGACTTTGTCCCCCATCACTTACATTGGGATTGTATTTGGAAGGGATCCTAGGAAAAATCTAATGACTCCTTTAATGTACATATAGGGATCTATCCATCTATCCACTGAGTGAGAGGATGGGTACACCCCACATCTAGAGATAGGAGTATTACAGTAAATTAAGATTAATTTGAAGAAATGGAAACCTATCCTTTAAGACTTGAGATTCAATGTGACACTTATCTGACATGAGTCTTACGAGTCTGACACATATACAGTCAGTGATAATATTTTAAGAAATGAATTAATTCTGATTGTCAACTAATATTTACTTAATGGCCTGTACCTCCGTTCTGTTCCATATTGTCTTTCAGGCTGTTGAGCAGCACCTGTGCCTCTGCTACTGCATCCTCGTTCTCTGGATCAGCCTTCTTCACAGTGTCTTCCTAGATATGGAGATAGAAAAGAAATTGTAAACACGGTGAAAAATATTTACAGCTGCAGTGTCAGTACTTCTACATTAATAATGAGTCAGCTCACCAGTTGAGTGATGGTTTCAGAAATGGTCTCCTTAAGCATAATGTGATGGAGCTTATAGTGCTCACAGATCTGTTTGGACACTGTACTTTTCCCCACAGCAGGAGGACCCAGCACACACATACAGATGGGCTAGAGAGAACACACTACATGAAGTATACTAATACAACTACATACAACTAAGACAGTAAGTTAGCAGTTTATTTATGATCTAAACAATTCCTATTTTTTAAGTGCCAGTGTATTCTTTGAACAGAGAAGTTCCTGTCTTCTGGTTTAGTACCTACCAGCAGTCCCCTGGTCTGCCGGTACTCCTCCACCACCAGCTCTATGTTCTCCACCAAACCAGACTCACACAACCAGTTGACAGACAACAGTTCTTTGAGGTAGACAGCCTCAATGCGTAGGTTGACCAGCAGAGAATCAATTTCAATTACCTGTTAAGAAGAAAGGACATGTCAACAGATTTTAAAGGAATATTCTTTTCTTTTTATGACCCACAGTCTGTATGTTTATTTTGAATTAAAATTACAGCTTTAAAAATAGTCATTTTCTCCTTTAACACTGTAATGTAATAACGGATTTGTTTCCCCACTTTTGCTTGCTGTTTTGCCCACTTGGGGGCAGCACTGACCAACAGTAGCTGATTTCCACATCCAGCAGTTTCAGAGTGATACCATCACTGATTTGAAGTCGTGTTTGTGTTGCCCTCATTGTTGTAAGTTCAACATCTGCTCCCTTTCTAGCTTTGTTTTTCGTCCCTACCAACTTGTGTGGAAAATATCTGCTAAATGCTCCACTGTGTTCATCAGCTCTGTCTGTGTGCTGTGACTGTTTAGTTTTTTTTTTTTTTCTCTAAAGACAAATGTCTGCTGGGGCTGAAAATGATGCCATGAGTGTGGTGACAGTGACCCAAAACAGTAATGTTGTGGGTCTGTCAGCTAAAGAATGAGGTGAAACTCACTCTAAAGCTCTTTAAACTTGAAGGCAGGTGATAATTATCTGTAGGTTAATCACTACTCATTTCATCCATTGCTATGCTATGTTACATATAGTGGTAAATATTGATTATAGCCACTGTAACAACTGTAATCATAAAGCTTGATTTGCTTGAAATTGACATGAGAAAATAAGATATAAATCTCATGACCCTGTGTAACGTACTGAGCTGAAGTAGGAGCTGATTAGCCAAGTTTAGAATAAACAGCTAGCTAAGAAATCAAAAATTTTCAAAACCTCTAAAACTCACTGGTGTCCACACCAAATCACTTTTGTTTTAATTCTTGCTCAAACATAAAGGTACTAATAGAAATTTGCAGTTAGGTAAGAGTGTTAGAGAGAATTCTTTCACTTTTCCTGTTAGACACTGGCTTTCTGACAGTCTCATACCCTCACACTATCCAAGCAGATGTAAAGCCACTCCTTGATAAACTAGAATTACTGCTTTGCGGTTGCATGCCTCCGCCAGCCAGTGAAATTCACAGGAATGGACAGATGTGAGGTCACTGACTTTGACCAAAATCTCAGCTCATCCTTGAGTCCAAGTGGACATTTTTGCCAAATTTAAAGAACATCCCTTAAGGTGCACCTGAAATACTGTATCATTCATTCATTCATTCATTTTCTACTGCTTAGTCCCTGAACAGGGTCACGGCGGAGGGCCGGAGCCAATCCCGGCCGGCAATCGGGCAAAGGCGGGGTACACCCTGGACGGGTCGCCAATCCATCACAGGGCTATACTGTATCATGTTCACAAGAATGAGTTTATCACGAGGTCACACTGACTTTTTACCACCAAAATCTAATCAGTTCATCCTTGAGTACAAGTGGGCATTTGTGCCAAATTTGAAGAAATTCCCTCCCTTCCTGAGATATCATGTTGATAAGAATGGGCTGTATGGATGGATGGACAACCTGAAAACATAATTCCTCCAACCACAGCTATTGCTGGCATGGAGGCAAAAATACAGTATGTACAGTAGTTACATGGGTGTTATATGGGCTGCCCTAATGGCCTGGTGGCTAGGAGTCAGTGCTGCGGCCCAGGTTTGATTCCTGGTCGGGGCACCCCTAACCACAGGGGTTGCAACCCAATGACATCTGTGCCAGTCCCAAGCCCGGATAAATAGAGAGGGCTGCATCAGGAAGGGCATCTTGTCAAAACTTGTCAAATCTACCATGCGATTTGTCAGTGTGGGAAACATATGATTTGCTGTGGCGACCCCTAACGCAAACAGGCGAACATGGAACATATGGGCTATCTCTGCACACAGGACGTCTGGACATCAGCTTTTTCTCTACATTTCAGAACTGACTGATCCATTAGATGAGTGAAATTACACAATTTGCAGGGCTTTTACACAGTTAGCTCACAGATAAAACACTTTTCTTGTAAGTGCGTTGAACTTAAAGTCCAGGTAAAGTAGAAATAAGTGTGTTCTGAGTTTGTCACACCACAGGAAAATATGTTATTAACCACCCAGCCAAATTTAAATTTTTAAAAATATTGCCAAGTATATAAAATTAACAGTCTAACCCCACAATTCAGCACTATATAGTTCTGTCTGTTCTGTCGTTTTCAGCAACTATTTTCTGACATGTATAATGTGTTTAGAAACAAGTCACTGATTTTGCTTTACCCTGAGATTAAGTAAAGCTTGCCTAATTTAAGCAAGTACAACATACACTTAAGTCCTTTGTGAGAAAGGCTTCTTCAGGTGGCTTCTTCTGAATCTTCCCTGGTCCAAGTACAGAGGCAACTGCCTGGTGGAGAAAAAGGTGACAACACATACATTTGAAAGGAGTTACATTTCCATTTCAGTTCAATTCGGTTGCAATGTAGTCACATAGTCCTTATTCACAGCAGCAAGATCTCAGGGCACTTTACATAATCAGGTCTAGACCTTACACTATTATAAGGAAAACCCAACAAACCCCCTTGAGCAGCACTTGGTGACAGCAAGGAGGAAAAACTCCCTTTAACGGAAGAAACCTCAGACAGACCCCAGCTCTTGGTGGGCGGCCTTCTGCCTCGACTGGTTGGGGTGAGTGGAGAGAAAGAGAAGAAAACAGAACAAAGAAGAAAACAACAGGCAGCCACTGTCTGTTCATTAGAAGTGTAGAGCCAGGGATACCTGCAGGAAGGTACAGGGAATTTACCAAAACAAAAAAAACCTCTCCTAGAATGCATGTCAATAACTTCATTAATTTCCTATTTCAAATAATTTCATAAACACCACTACATTGGTACAAACAAAGGCCACCCTGTTGACTAGAAACCACTGGTACAGTTAAATATACTCAGTGGCAACAGGATGGCCCAGGCCTCCAGTTTGCTTGCAGTTATTAAGATGGCTGTCACTCTATCTGTTTGGCCACAATGGTTGTTACTGTGGCATGAAATACTGCCCCATCACAGTTATATGTTTCTGTTTTGTAATAAAAAAGATATTTATTGATCAGTTGCTACACACACCTTCACAATGTCCTCCATGGTGTTGTTGGAATAGTCCACAGCTAGCAGATAATATGGCTGGGGCTGCTGTTTCTCTATATCCCCCTGATAACACACACACACACACACACACACACACACACACACACACACACACACACACAAATCACAGTTTACAATGTATACAGTCTAGGATTTGAAGAATTATTAAACTTTTTTTGTTATTACACATTTTTCCCCAGGCTCTGTGCTTTAGCCCATTACATTTGAAAATAACAGATACTAAATCAAAGTGAAAAGACTGCTTTAATTTGAGTAGGTTTACATTTGTTTAGAAAGAAATATAGCCATGAAAATACATAGCGCTCCAAAATTTAGGGGTTTAAAAGTATAGTAATCGGATAATTGACTACTTTGTGTTTCTTGGGCAGCTGTGTGTTGTTTCAGTGTTAGTTCATGCACAAAAGAGCTTACAAGTTACAAGGCTTAGAGATGAGAGTTTTAGACTGAGTTGGAGGTATCTGTAAAGAGAGTTGACCATGCAAGTGAAGAAAATAATATGATGCTCAAAATCATTTGCAGTGAAGAAAAAGCCCTCTGACTGCACAGTAAGTCAAGATGTGCATAGAAAAGACTTCATGACCAAAACCACAGAGATTCATCACAAGATACGAACCCCTGGTAAGCCTCAGAAACAGAAAGATCAGATTGCAGTTCAAAAAAACTTAAAAAAATTAAAGCAGTGGCATTCTAGAACAAAGTCCGGTGGACTAAAAAAAGAAAAAAAAAAACTTCTATCAGAATGATGTAAAGAAAAACGGAAGAAAAGGAACAGCTCATGGCGCTGGTACTGTCATGGTTTGGATGTGTCTAGCTGCCAGTGGAACTGACACACTGGTATTTATGGATGATTTTTAACTGTCAGATCAGGTCACTGACTCTGACAGTTAAGGATATTCTTGTTTTGTATTTGCTCAGGTTCACGTAAATGCATCAAAACTCATTGAGCCACATATCATTATTCAGAAGGAAAACATTCCTGAAAGCAAAAACAAAACAAGAATATCCTTAACTGTCAGAGTCAGTGACCTGATCTCACTCCAACTGAACTGCGTCTCACAACATGCACGTTAAAAGCAGCTATACTTGCCACACAGTTCTTTTTATACTAATGTAAACCTATTCAATATAAAACTGATACTTGGCACTTTATTGTAGTAAGGACTTAAAATTTAATCTGCTAAAGCACAGCCCCTGAAAAACATAAATATGTAATTGTCCAAATACTTAAACTATAGATCCAATTCTTAAAGTTTTTTTTTTGGAAAGCATGGCTCTGTGCAACCTAACCTAATATCAATAAATATTCATGGAAGAAAAAATATATGTGTGTGTGTGTGTGTGTGTGTGTGTGTGTGTGTGTGTCAAACCTTGTCAGGTCATTGATGTGAATCATGGGAACAATATTGTTGCCATCGCCAAAGACAGGTATTTCATGTTCTTGTCCCAGCCATGATGTCTGTGGATACATATTAATACAACTAGTTACATGTATGTAGATTCACATTTTCCCTCATATTTAAATTTGATTTCAGTTGGCTAATTAAGTACTGCCAGGTCAAAATTTCCTCCTGGACAAAATATTCTTGCATGTGAATAATAGCGACGGGCACAATTAATGGATTAATCAATTACAAATTACACATGATAGATCCCTTTATTTTCTATTCAGTTCTTTCTATTATCTATTATTATTATCTATCCATTGTGATTGTACATACTATTGACAACATCAACTATTCTTTTTGAAGGAAGAGAATGTCTCCTATGGAGTGTGGTGTACTGACCATAAGTGTGACACAGCCGTGCGTGGTGGAAATGAGAGGTAATCTTCAAATCTCACCTTGAAAAAAAAGTGGAAGACCTGCTCTCCCATCCCGTACTGAAGCCCTGATGCCACCACGTATGTCGAGAACAATTTTCTGTTCTATAAGCAACAACCATGTGAAAGGTTAATGTGTCAGTTGTGTTTCCTGTACAAAATGTAACAACTCAGGAATTGGAAACTCACAGTTTTGCCCATTTTGGCCACCCTCTTCTCCAGGTCAAAGTGTTGTTTAAAGTTGGGGTGTGCTCTTCTTCTCCAGAAAATCTCATCGGTGAAGGGAAGCTCCACATCATCCTGTTACACAACACAGATGAAAACAAGGATGCTACAAACGACAAACATAACCCACTTCAACATCAAACACATACACACAACAGTTTGATCTGGATAAAGAAGTTCATGAGTCAACAATCCTGACACACTGTGAAAATGAATCCAACACTGTGCCAAAATAGATATGATGTGGCATTTAGACACTAACCAAGACACTAAAAAGACTTGTTAAAGTCAAAGTGAAAATGTAGAATGTTTTCACTTTTATTCTTTGCAAAACTACTCAAGCACTGTAGGGTGCAGATTCCAGCAACAAATACTCAAGCAGACTGAGACCTGGACTCTGACTGACACTACAGGACATTAACACTGTTCCTGTGCTTATTGCTTATTGTATTGTTAAAAGTAAATCCTCCCCCAAGTAGCAGGTTTCTGCATTAGGTTTTCCTTGAGGAGTTCACTGGATTTTGCTGCATTAATTTCACCCTCTACCATGGTGCTGCAGTGAACTTGTCATCATGCTCTCTTATTCCCCTGTCCTCTATCTCCTCCACTTTCCACTTGATAACTTTTTAAAAACATTTGCTCTCAGTGAGGGCCAAACTCAGAAACAGCATTTTCAGTGCTGAAACGCTGTTCAAGTAGCGACTTCAAGTTGACATTTTGCAGTGTCGAAAGGTAAAAAGGTGCAGCACCGTACATTTTACAAACTGAGTAGCTCATTTCACCGTTGTTAAGGTTGAGCCACTAATATATATTCTGAACCCTTTAGCCTGAAATGTCTTTGGACTGCTGCTTCACCTTTGTAATGTTATTGTTGCGCTGTCTGAGGACCCTGAAGAGTAATGCCGACAGCACTGGCACTGCCATTTGCACTAGTCCTTTCAGTTTCCAGTGTTTTTTGTGAGCAAGTTCCACTTCGGTTGATATACATTTATGTTAAACAGCAGCCCATGTTTGCATGCTTTCATGTTCACATCATCAAAACCTACTGAGTGAATGAGTGAGTGACACTGCAACAGTAGAGGCAACATATAACTTTGTAGGGAGGGAGAGAAGGCACACCAAGTGTTGTTGTTATAGCCACCCAGCATACAGCTTGTTACCATAGTTTAAAGTGCCCATGGAATGCTTTTCCTTGTTTTCCTGTTGTCTACAATGTTACAACAATGAATGATCATCTTAAATAAGCTTTTGCTCAGTTTCTGAATTTGTCTTCTTTTGATTTGAAATGGCACAGTGAAGCAATGATTCTCAAATCAAGGCGTGTTGAATGACTGCGAACAAGATCAAGATCAAAGATTTGATAGTGAACAGTGTTCAGCATCCTCACAGCCTGGTGGATGAAGCTGTTTGTAAGTCTGGTGGAGTGGGCCTGAAGACTCCGATACCTTCTCCCTGAAGGCAGGAGTCTGAAGTGGGAGTGTGAGGGGTGGGAGGTGTCGTCAGCAATGCTTTACTTGTGAAGCCACCACCACAGTTAGTGATCACCTCATCAACACTGGATTCCCCCGGAGCACAGCACCTGTTTGTTTTGACTGCTTGAGGCCAGTGTGTCTGCTGCATTTGATGTGTTGCTGGTTAATGAGCGGATTAATCATCCATGATGTTATTGTTGAAGCTACGCTACCTGTTGGAATTAATTTCACTACTTTGGGACTGTATGTAGGGGAAAGACACAGTGACCACCGGTTGGATTTACTGACCTAGGAGCTACTTAAAAGGGAGTGATGTTTCCACTACTCAGTAGGACTTAACCATAGGTTTACAATAAACATGCCTTACATGTCTGCTAATGCCTTGTTTCTGTAACGTTAGAAAGAATTGTTGTAAGGCTGCATTATGCCAGTTAAAATATGGGGTTTCTCAATTACCTGCTTTGTTTACAGTGTTACACATCTCTTTTCATCAGTACATACACCGTTGTTTACCTATGGAGGAGACATTCAAATTAATTAATACTGTTGTGCTCCGTTGTGCTGTCCACTTTCATATTCTGGCTCAAACTTGTCAGGTAGGATTTGAGGTACTGTCATTGTTGAAAACATATCTTATTTGTCAGTCTTTTTTGTTCATGCATTGTCCTGGCTTCCTGACTGGTCTTGTGTAGAAAAGTGTTCCGCAATTGAGATGTGTTCCCCCTGTTCAAAACTTGGTTTCATGTAGCGCCCCCTCAGTGATTGTGGTTAGGACAATGTTAGGATTCAGGTTTGGAGAAACACATCTCAATGGAGAAACAGATTTCAGCAAAACACTGGAAGCAGGAGTTGTGCACATTTATAAACTATCCTCTTGTTTTTATTACGAGGCTCTGGGTTTGCAGAGCTAATCTAGAGATACCCAAAATTAAACATTAAATGGCTGGAAATGAGCAGGCCATGGCCACTTTAAATGGACAGATGCCAGCCCATCTGGCATAAACAGCAGGTTTTGGCGCACACCCACTGTTTAACATTGCTGTAAATGTGTGTGAGAATTTCTTGTAGTGTAAGAGCTACATTTGCGGGAATCACTGAAATTATGTGCAATACCTGCAATCCTGCACTGAAATTCAAGCCCTGATTGGCATACCCTATCTGATTCCCTAATAATCACATTAGCTGCTTTTCTCTGTTTCACGCTGTATCATTGTAAATTAAATGTATTTGGATTCTTTGGCAAAAAAAAATTATTATGCGCATTTCTTTTTTCCCCTTTAATTGGACATCACAGATATTACTTTAGAGACTTCGGTGCCGGTCCCAAGCCCAGCTAAATAGAGAGGGTTGCGTCAGGAAGGGCATCTGGGGTAAAAACTTGCCATATCTACCATGCAACTCGTCAGTGTGGGAAACATGATGATTCGCTGTGGAGACCCCTAACAGGAACAGCCGGACGTGGAACAACAACAGATATTACTTTAGAACATATGGATTCATGTAAAACAAAAAGATAACATGATCTGGAGGTGTCCACTTACAGGATCAACTGGCTTGCTGCATGCCCAGGTCATCACTGTGGAGACGAGGATGAACATCTTTGGTCCAGAAAAATGACCCATTTCATTGTGAAGAGCTACAACACAAAATAAGTTGTTACCTGATTGATAAACGATGGGCTTATTGTATCCAACTATTAAATTACTTAATATATATAGACTACATACTCCATGACATGACTGGCGATAACTCTGTGTGGGCAAAATTATGAGAAAATATTCATGTGACATTACTGACATTAATACAAAAAAAGCAATCTACAGTACTAATGACATCGTAAAGTTAGTGTAATAAAATCTGATGCCCATTTAAATTACAGTAAAGTACAGACAGGAACCCAACAACCTTACCTGACACAGCCCATAAGGCTTCCTCCACCTGATCAACATGCTGGGTAATATTGTAGATGACAACATCACAGTCCATCAGTTTTGGAAGAAGCTTATCCTTGTCCAGTTGCTTGCATATAAACAACAAAAAACATTTTAAATTTTGAGTTACAGTTTACGCTCAAGCAATTCATTATGCCGCATTTGTTGGATGAACTGCTACTTACTAAATACTCCTCTAGCACATACGGTCTGTCCTCATCCGATTTATCAGCAATTGTCCCCACAACCTGAAACGCCCCTGCCCTGCTGTGGCTTGATATCGTCCTCTCCTCATCATCAGTCTCTATCTCTCCATCAGGGTCAAAAGATGCAACATATTCCGACAAAACCTGCACAGATGAATAGGGTAACGTTAACTAGAGTTAACTTAATTGCTGACCAAAATTGTCCACTAACGCGTCCTCGGTGTGTGCTAGCCAATTTCCCCGCTGTGGTAAACTGGCAACAATAACTGCTAAATCACGTTAATTCGGGCATTCCACATTGAAATACATTTACCTTGGCAATATATTTGGATGCATAGCAGTCTATATTGTTGATAAAAACTCGTTTGGAAGACTGCTTGAATTTACCGAGCTTAAGCTCCGCCATATTAGCTTGTAGCGTTGTTGATGTTCCGTTGCCATGGTGATGCGCTCTCTCGCACCTGCGTGGAAGGGATTCCAGGCTCCATGGCCAGAGCCGTTCAGACAGAAGAGTTGCAACAATAGCCCGTTCAGTTCTGTATAGGGACTCTAAAAAATTAATTAGAACCTCGAATTAAGAACCTCGAATTAAGTCCCTCGTAGGCTAGTGGTTAAGGCGCAGCGCTCTCAACGCTACGGCCCGGTTCAAGTCAGGGTTGCGTCAGGAAGGGCATTAGGCGTAGAACACGTGCCAAATGTCAACATACGACTCGTCAGTGTAACGATTCGTTGTGGTGATCCCTGAACGGGAAAGGCCGAAAGTGACTTTCTAAAAATTCAAATCAAATCAGCAAAGTTCACCAGGTCAAGTGACTTGAGCTGGTCTCTATTGTATAAGCACAACTACTCTCCTCATAAATTTTTTTTGTGGAACAATGACATTATCAGTTACAACAACGAATCCTTGTTCTATGAATATTAGTTTAACAATAACATTCTACTTGTAAAGCAGCTGTTTAACTGTGATGGAGCTCTATTGCCAAATGAGCACTTCATAACTAAGTACAGGGTTCCTGTATCCCAGCATGATTATAATACTGTCATTAATGCACTTCTGTCTGGCCTTTGACTCCTTGTCAAACACACACAATTCTATCAATTTAGATATTGCTGTTAATGGAACTTCTATCTTTGATAAAAGATTAAACAACATCTTTATAAGAATCTCCCTCATTCCAAGAACAGCTGTTAAACATAAATGGGCATGCCAGACTCTTGAACTAAACTGTCCTAACAAAAAACGAACCAAAACCATTGACCTCCTTAAACGTTTTAAGTTTATATCAAAACAGCTTTACCTCTTTGTTTTTTATAGATTGTTCTTTTCTTTGTTCTCACTTGTTTACTTCTGGTATTCATTTTCACTTTTTCATATTATGCCTACTGTTGTCTTGTTGTCCTCTTAATGCACACTGTTGTACATGTTACGGCAAGCCGCACACCAACAGAGCAACTGGACTCAGTAATTGGCAGGACTCAAACTCAGGTCAGAGAGAGATATTTATTTGACAGAGTATGGAACGGAAAGGGGGTGGCAAGGATCAGGCGCGGAGCTGCCGGCGTGGGTCTCGGGTGATCGGGCCGCAGAAATGACTGAACCACTGGAGGAGCCGCCCGGGGTCGGAGGAGAGGTCTTGGCACTACGTATAGAGCAGAGAAGAAGATTAAGAGAGGAGACAATAGGCAGATGAGGGTGTGATGATGCTGAGCACAACACAGGTGACCTGCGTATAGAGGACTGCTGGCTCCGGGCTGGAGAGCGGGCTTGGAACCCAGCGCCGAGGTATGCAGACAGGAACAAGCGCCCACGCTTAACTGACCCAGGC